ATGTGCCCTTTCAGTACCATGTGCAAATATTTTGAATTTTGTTTATGTTCTTGTTAGACTGTATTTCAGTTGTTACTTACATCAAAAGAAGCACTTTCTGCACCCTGAATGTTTGCAGTAACATTCACTGTGGCCTTCTTCTCAACTGCTTTTTCAAAATGGTGATTAATATATTCCCCCTCCTCACGATCATCAGAATATTCGCTCTCACCTAGAACTTAAAGAGAGTTAAGGCAATTCCAATTTAGATACAAGAATTTGTCCAATAGTTAACAATTTAGTGCCAACTTACAAACATCACTTACAATACATTAACCTGCTTACAATACTTTGCATTACATTACTTGCTTACAAAATCTTGAAATCTTGAAGTTATGGATCTAAATTAATAATAATAAATCATTTGTTACTATTGATAGACCGGCCAGCCTAGACTAGCATAGCTATTTGCGGGCCAGTCCAACTGTAAAATGTAGATTTATCAAGAAATAAAAAATGATGATGATGATGATGATGATGACAAATTTGATTGGTAGTTCAGTAAAAATCTTGGGTCCTTGATAGTGAAAGCTCTTCTTCCCAAATTCAAGGTGAACTTTAGGGAGTTTCACTGATAAACCATTGTTCCTTGTGTTCTTAGAGTGAAGTGATCTAATTCTTGTCAATGTCTCTACCTATTAGACAAAAAAGTATTGAATTAAAAAATCTACTTGTAGCAACACTTTCAGTATTGACTATTACAGTATTCATTTGAATTCTACTGAAAGGAGTTGGTAACTTATCCTCATGAGATGTGTGTCGCTCATACAGTTGGATAATATTACCCCATTGTTGTTGCTAATACATTGCAGTGGGAAAAATCCGAAACTTTGCAGCCGGGTACTTGAAGGGAGGAGATCGAGTTGAGCATCATCTGCTTCTAATTTTTGGCCTATCTGTTGTCATGTGACTCACTGGTTGACCTCATCGCAGACTTTTCACAGAGAAAACTGTCACAAGCTTCCTCGTTTTGCCATGTTTGATCAGTGGAAGTAAATGCATGGGAACGGCATTCATGCAAACCCAGACCTCATTTAGGTTTCAACAGTTTTTACAGCTTGTTATGAGTAACAATTTACATCATGAAATCTTTAAGAATATACCAAGCAGTAGATGTTTGACACCTGTAACACTCTTTGTCAATTTCACAGAGTTCTTATTCATCTTCCTTGATATCAGAATAACACCGTTTTCCACTCAAACCTTGTGAGATGTAAAGGCTCAGCACCATCTTGGTTTTGCTTGATTTGCCAAGAGAAGTAGATCAACTTTCTCTGGCTGTAAACTGGTTTCCTGCAAATTTCCTCTTTTTCTTCTTTGAATGGAACTTTCTGAACATTTTGGGAAACCAAGCAGCAGAAAAATGAACTAGAAATGTACTTGGGACGAGTGAGTCACACTTGCCAACACAGCAACAATCACACAATTGGTTGGTCAGTGTATCTTGTGAGACCACGCAAACTGGTTGCCCCAGACCCCCCTCGAGTAAGAATCACTTGTTTTGTTTAAAAGCAGTTTATTGGTATGAAAATAACATTTTTTGCCTTGGAAATGAAATAACATTGTTCAATTATTCTAAAAGCTTCTATAAGGGGACAAAAAGGGAAAAAAAAATATCAATCCAGTGGCTTCTCTACTGCTTAAAAATATAAATATTGCACTTTTTGACAAAATTGAGGTTTTACTCATGAATAATAGATGAGGTCTAAGGGTTGGTGCCTATTAGATATTATTGATTTATTGAATTGAATCTATAGTAGTGAAAAAAGTTAATTGTATGTGTCAGTGAAAACAAAAGAATTTAAAAAAATTGAAAACGAAAGCCAGTAATGTTGGTTTCCAGTCTTAATCTGGATCCTTACAAGATATGACTTAAAATGGCATTAAATGGTCAAACAAAACAACAGATGAATAACAAAAAGTAAATTATTCATTTTGAGTAAAGGATGGAGTTCTAGGACCTCAATCAAATCTCAATACAAGTAATTTTCTTTGTTGGATTAATTTGTTCCACTAAAAATGAAGTCCTTTATTTGGTGTACCAAGTGTTTAAAAATAACTTGAAAATACTTATTGTTATGAATAAAATTCTGACATGCATGGCAAAGTATTTACCTCTCAAAGTAGACTGAAAATCAATGTTTAGCCAATGGAAGAACGGCAAATCAAAGTCTGCTTTCTTTACAAGCTCCAGCACAATCTTTGGACTGTTTTCTACACAAGTCTTATGGTCAAAGATAGCACCTAGGAGATGGCAAAGAACTGTGAAGCATCCTTCCAAATCATCAGTAGTAGATGCTCTGGGCAGCCAGTGCAACAATCACCTCTCTGCTTATTCCCTTGATCTTCTTGATTGGTCTAGAATTTAATCAAAAGAGAAATAACTGCAATGATTAGAAAGACTGCCAACTACAAAATATTTAAATTGCACATCCTGTGGAATGGACTGATTTATTTCTACCTGTTTAAAACCATGGTCGAGTAGGCTCTATTGAAATGATACCAAGTTGTGGCATTCTCTAGGACTAAGTCAAGCATCTCATAAAATGTGTCATGAAAGGTTCTCTTCGCTCGGACTACATCCATCGCTTGCCTTATGCCAGTTGTAAACCGAACATACAAAGCTAGCCAGTGTATGTGGTGGGACTTTGCACGGAGTGCTTTTGTTGCGGTCGCAAAGCTGGCCATGGCACGAGTGGCAAAGGCAGGAAGGATTTGGTGAGGAGTCTAATCTTTTCATAACACAATTTTGTATGATGGATTAATTTGATCCACTAAAAATGAAATCCTTTACTTGGTGTACCAAGTGTTCAGATATCGCTTGAAAATAGTTATGAATAAAATTCTGAAATGCAAGTAAATTGAAAACCATTTTCATTGCCTGTTACTATCAATTGTATTCTATGGCGTTAGGCAATGTCAGTTGGAGAGCTAAGGAAGAAAGCAAAAGACAGGCAACAGTGGTGGTCTCTGAGGTAACCAAAATGGCCATGTCAAGGGACTCTTGCTAGAAGTGTTTTTCATGTACAGTTCTCTTGGTAGCCCAAATAAAGGAGGCAAAGTTGTTTAATAGCTTTGGTTGGTCTTCTAAACGACGATGACATTGCTGTTGATGGAATAAGTGACCTCAGATGAGACTGTATATTTGGTGAGCTGTGGGTATAGAGAACTTATGGGTGGAACAAAAAGGTTGCAAATGGTGTAGCTGTAAGAGAAGGCTGGATTGAATTCTCTTGTATTTTATGATTCACGAAATGTCATGTCACCAGGAAAGCTTTGTGATCAAGTGGTGAATAAGCACCATTTGGAAAAATGGTATGTTAAGGGTTGTTGACAAGCTATTGTTTGGATGAATACAAAAGAGGATCATTTCTTTACAAAGTGATATGTGTAAAGCATTTATGGTAACATGCACATTTAATCAACCCAAAATTCTCTACAATCAAATGCATTTGACTAGCTAGAAAAACTAGTTTTATAACAAACTTTTGGTGTCACCTATAGAAAAATTTAAATACACCAACCAACAAACAAAACTAATTTTAAAGTATAAAGAGGTTAAGTTGCTATCCAGCGAGCATTTTCACAAGAGGTGGCAGTACAAATTATGATAACTTAATAACTATTTGTGAACAAATAAAAACTTACTAGGTACCACTATCAATCTAAACTGAAATGATCATTGTTAAATATATTGAAAGTATTACTAATATCCACTGGAAAAGGTTAGTGAATGGCAAGGCAATCTTTGCTGGTACATGGTTTTACTTTGACAGCAACGTTAGTGAATGTTATCTCAGTGATGAGGTAGGCATCGTTCCCCTGCTGTTAGGAATGATTTTTCATTGCGTAATGGTGACTGGCAGAGCCCACAGTGTTCCTCAATTGGGAAGAAAATCACTGGCTATCCTCCTGAAACTCCAATACAGTAAGGGAATTTCCTTATCTCATCTGCAAGCAGAACTGTTGACTGTCTTTCTACAGAAGAATTTATACATGTAGAAGTAGATGCAGCAAATGCAAGTGTAGATGATGCAGCCTAGAAAGATGTGGATCAAGGAGCAGAACTAGAAACTAAACATGTAGTTAATCCAGATGATGATTATGATGGAGGCCTGGCACTGCTTTGGCAAGGACACAGATGACGATTCACAGGAAGTATTGGATGAAGGAGAAGTGGAGATTGATACCTGAGGCCTGTGAAGTGAGGCCAGAAGGAGGTAAAGATGTAGGCAGCAAGACCTAACAGAAAAACCTTTTGCTTTAGTTGCATAGCTGGAACAGTCTGAACCATGTTAAACCTTCCCACTTTTGTCTTTCTTGTTTATCTTGACATGACAGAAACAAAGTGGGTTGCTTGTAGTGGCCAGTCCAAACACACCAAATGATTGTTTGGACACTTGTACTACTGATGGTGTGTTGGAGGGTAGAGACGACAAAATCCCTGTCAATTCCTGACAAATCAACTCACTGCATGGATAGGACTCCCAAGACTAGTGTATAAACACCCAAAGGGCCTGCATTTGTGGTATTCTTAGCCAGCTTTATGTGGTCACACTGGTATGCTTTAACCAGACCGGTGTTCACATGGATGGACCAAGAAAGCTTGTAGTACTCCCTGGTGCAAAGCCAAATTTCATGTGCAGTTGTGACAAAACACCGGTCATCTCTGCCAGTCTGACAGGAAAACAAACCCTCCCATATTTCGCCTATCCATCTGTTTGTGAATTAAACTTAAGTGTGGTATCTAGTGCATGCCAATTGTGGTGAGTGGCACTTTGAGCAATAAAGGTTAGTTCAGCAGAGAAAACAGAAGTGCCAAAATGTTTATGCACAATGAAAAACATGAAAAACATGAAAAACCTCAACATCACTTACGCACTGAAAAACCATTCAAGAATAAAATCTTTAAATGTTTAGATGTTACTAAAAATTGTTCTAACTAAAATTTGGAAAGGCACTGCAAAGTATTTGTGTGTCTTAAGTGGTTGAAAACTAATGTTCTGTCCTGTTATTGTCAAGTGTTATTCTATGACCTCAAGTAATGTCTTGGTATACTTGCTAGATGTAGTTGCCTGTCATAATGGTTTGTCCATAGATTTTCATTAGTGTTGTAGCTCGTGTGCTTGTAGGACCCCTGGAACTATGCCTTCCTGCCCCCAGCAGGTTCGACAATGCTGGACAGGTCCAGGATGAAGAGCCGGACATGGGTAGTTTCCCTTCATGTGTGACAACTTTACCCAACACGAAACCAAAATTGTGGCAGTGAGAATTAAATGATCCAGACAATTGGACCCATTGCAGTTGATAGTTAAACCAAATCAGGAATCAGCATCTTAACAGCTGAGTTTCTGTTGCCAAAAGAAATCTGTCAACAGACAGTAGAAAAGGAGATGTAGCTGAGGAGAGCTAAGGAAGATAGCAAACGACAGGAAGTATTCCCAGTCACAAGTCATGGCCTTAGGGCACAAAGATGACTGAATAAGTGTGTGGATTTAACTCCAACCCTTCAATAATGATGTTATTGTTTGAAGTTGAAGCAATTCCAATGTGTTACTGAATCCTTCAGAGAGCTGTTGGAGGGGTATGGGGTACTTTTGTACTTCAGGTGACTGCTGTATAAGTGAGGAAACATGTAAGAGCAAGAGTTAACAAGAGCATGTTTGGCTGGTAGCTCTCTGTCTCAAGGCAATGTTTTAGTAGCTCTTAATTTTTCTAGGTACACGTGTATGTTTATTTAAGCCTGAGGGATGAAAGTAGATATTTTGAAATCTTTCAACCTGGCATAAGCTCTCTTCATGCGGATTCTTGCTGTAACAAAGGATTTTTTTGCCTTTGCCTCACTTTTGTTGAAGACACAATTATTAAGAAAAGGTGGTATGTTGAATAAAACACCATTTGGCAGAATGTCTTGAATAAGAAAGACCTTGTCTGTCTGAATCATGTTCCTTGCGGCAAGATGATTTAACAGGCCTCATTGTTGCACTATGGCCTTATCAGATATTGACCCAGGGTACAGTTTGCTTACAAATGTAATTATGGCACTTGGTGTAACTCCAACAATAGTACCCCTGTAGCTGGAATATGAAGCATTCTGTTGACCTATTAATGCCTGAGCTGCAACCTTCACATCACTACAGTTGATGACAATTCTTCAGGAGGTAAACCACGAAAAAGAAGATGGTGCATTCAAAGTATTTTTATCTCTTGATGGAATGGTTATCTTGATTTCTTGAAACAAAATAGAATGCAGAACATGAATAAAAGCGGTGACAATATTTGCAATTCTTGACACATTGCATCAAAATAGCTGGGCAAGGTGCAGTTTGGTGTAATTCTGCCTGTGTTTCATTACAGTTGAAAAGGAAAACGGAAGTTAAGAAAAGGAGGAAATGGGTATTATTTTCAATTTATGCCTCCTCTTTCAAACCCCTGTCTAGTAACAGATTGTTGTTATATAGCATAAAATATTTAGCTGACATCACTCACTGCACTCTCTTGGAATGGAAGACAGAAGTCTTCTCACATCCTTCAGATCGGCATGGAAAGCTCTCTTGATTAGCCTGATCTACCTCGTGTGTTTGCTGTACCAAACTGGCTACTTCAGAATGTACCACATATGTCTCCACATGTTTTCTGCAAAGTTCAGGCAACCACTGCATTTTTGTTTCTTTGACTGGATTTCTCTGCATTCATTTCAGTGGATGATGGTTTCTCTGGAATTATTGGGTAGAAGATGAGTCCTTTCCCACGACAACAAAACTTATGTCTTGGGGTTTTCAGTTATGCATCTTATTCAGCTTCATCGAAATGTGACCTTGACCTCCTTGAGTGATAATCAAGACAGAATAACGGCACTTATTAAAAACAAAACTTTGAGATTACATTGACTGTAAGTAATTGTCAAGACTGTTTCTTGACACTCTAATTTCCCTGCAAATTAGACAGATGATCTGGAATGGATTAAGGAGATTCATTTCCAAATGACTACTTCCCTCCAGCCTTTGGCTTGTCAAACTAATGGGAACTGAGAATCTTCTTCAATTAACTGATCACACTGGGCATTGTGTTCTACATCTAAAAGCCATGTGATCATTTTCCTCTATTATCATGAAGCCTCATTTCTCTTTTCAGCTGTTCGGCAATAACTTCCTTGGTATGCACCACTCATTTACCTCTACAATCGGAAGTTCTGGAGCACTTGCCTCTAGCTTGACCTCAATGGTTAACTTATAATTATCTCTAAGCACATCAATTGCAGAATGAAGGCTGCTGCAAGCTCTTTCCTCAATTTTCGCCTTGACCACTTCATTGCCTACATTGAGTGGAAACTCATATGACACACAAATAAGTTCTTTGTGAACATAAAAAATATTGGCAACTTTGGAAGTAAAATCACTTGTCATTTTACTGTCCACATGGACCAGTTTGGAATTTTCTGAAGAGAAAGTCCCTATGTTCTACACTCTTGCTATCACTGAAACCCAGAGTGTTTTTCAAAGACAGGTTTTTCCTTGATAAATGGTACTGTTAGAGTTAATTTTGGGACTTCCCCTTCAAAGCTTTCAACTCGGACTGTAGTTGTCGGATACATTTCTCCTCCTCTGGATGACGTTTGATTTCTTTGCATAATGTCACAGACAAACACAGCAGAAATTAGCAAATAACTTTATCATGTCCTGCTGAGTGACAAACTGAACTGGCTTCTTGTTTCCCAAGGTAGTAGTGGCTAGCGGTTTGCAGCTATTTTGAAGTTCGGACAGTTCACTTTGCTTCTTTGCTACTGCCTGTCTGACATCTTGCTTTTCTTTTGAAAGTTTCTGGAAGAATTTATCTGTGGGAGACCTGTACTGTTTATCAGCTGTGTCAGCAGCATTGTCAGTTCAAGACATTTTGCAGCTGAAAGAGATTTTGGTTTGTTAGCCAAGGGTAAACATCTTGGTAGATTTTGGAGACGGGGATGGAAAATTCCAAGAACGCTTTTGTGAAACGCAGTGCTTGGTGCCATGTGGTGTTATTGCCAACTTGTTTACTTTGAGTTGAATGACTTTCAGATTTTCTCGCATTGAAGCTCTCTCCATTTCAGTCATGTCAATAAATGAATCAAGATCTTGTACTGGTAGGTCAATCCAATCTTCTCTGTTGTTCGGCAGCGCCATCTTGTCTTTTTCCCGTGTAAACTTGGGAGTCGCAGACAAAGCCACTAGATGCTTTGGCGCAAACCCACGCTTTAATTCCACGCTTAACAGGCTTCATCGGCATATTGTTTCATTCCAAGCCGTCCCTTAAACTTTACCATCGCTTCGTCGACGGATAAATCTTTTTGCGCTCTCAGTTCCATTTTACAACATTGAACGACGCGATCAAGAACAGGGCGAACTTTGAACAATTTGTCATGTCCAGGATCTTCACGAGGAACTTGATTTGCATTATTATTTAAATGAAAATACTTGGACAATTTGTCAAAGCGATTTCTCGATGTCACTTTTTGAACGAAAGGGACGCCAATGAGTGGATCCTCACTCCAGTAAAGGCGAGTTGCAGGCAACCTTTTGATGCCGAACAGCATGTGAAGACCGATAAAGGCTTTCGTTTCATCAAGCATTGTGTCATACCATTCATGGTCGGGCTTCGTAGCGATACATTCCTGTGCATAGCAGTTCGTTTCAGCGACAATTTGTTCTATAAGTTCTTCTGGAAACATCAAATAAAAGAAATCGATTGCAGTTCCATCTTCTGCAACTCCAGAAGTTGGGCCAGTAGCCTCAGTGAATGGGGAGACCTCAACAGGGTTTGGGTTTTCGTTCCACGTTTCTTCTTCGGCTTCTTCCTCTTCAAAGTCTGAAAGGTCT